GGAGTGACCTCTTAAAAATTTTTTTTTGAGCTGTCCTTTGGTGAGGGCTCTTAAAACAACAAAAACTAACATTTTTTCACTCGAGACTAAAAAAAAAAAATAGTCAGTTTTTTTGCGCCACCCTAATACATATATATAATATTTATAAATATATGAAAAATTGATGTGGGTACTCAAATGAAAGGTCTCGATGAGTGTAACATCAGGATGATCTTATATCTTTAAAAATGCCAATGGTTCACAAGATACAAGGTCATTTCTTAATTATGTATCTAGAGACAGAGCATTTTCGAATGCAGCCTAAATACTTATCATAATAAATTGACTATCGGTCATATTTTATTTCAGAATCTAACTTTAAAAGTGGGCAGCTCCTCAGTTCTAATCGGCCGCGATGACGGCGCATTCAACGGACTAGAAGGAATGATGAAACATTTCCACTTGAATGCCAAGTTCCAACCCAACGGACCTCAGGTCCATCTAGCAATGAACTTAGAAGGCTTTTCAATCAAAGCAAAAATGCCAGTTGTGTCACTACGTTCCTTATCAATAGAATGCAAATTAAAAGAAGATGTCCTAAGAGTAGAAACTTTACTAAACAATCTTTACATAACTTACGACTACCAAGACTGGGAATTAATCCTTGCAAATCAGAACCAAGAAGTTTCAAAATCAGAAGCAAGCATTCCAGCTAAAAACAAATTCCCGTGGCTAGAAATCCAAACTACAGCAGAGCTTCACGAGGGTTTGATGGTAGTGCGACTCCCAGATGTCCCCGAAGCTTCCTGCAGTGTGACACATATTGACGTGTCTATCAACAGATACGCCAACAACGTCGAAGACTGGAAGATAAAATTAATGATGGAATCACTGAAGTGTGCGTTAAATGAAAGTGCTGCTCGTAAAATGGAAGCTAGTCATCATTGGGGTAGTCCTCTTTCCGTAGGTGTTTTAGTTGCTACCATCCACCCGAATGCAATTGGAATTGCTCTGGATGTTTTAAGAACCGAGTGGAGTCTCGAGTTTGCTAAATTTCTCAAAGTAGGAATTAAATACTGGCAAGAACATCACGGAGTTTTAACTGAGTCTAAAATCCAAGATTCTACTAAAAATAATTTACAATTAAATTTAAAAATATCTAATTGCAATTTCTTTTTTATTGCCGAAAACGGACTTTCTGTAATGACGCGCTTGGACTCAGCAAATATTGAAAAAAGCAATAAAAGAATTGTCGGAGTTGCCGAAGGCTTGTGTGCAATACCACTGAACAAAAATGAAACTATAGTCTATGAGCACTCACAGATGCTAAAGCATCCTTTTTTGTCTATAAGAAAATGCAAGGGAGCATTAACTCCCAAGTCAATAAGCATAAGCTTGGATAGCACTAGCATTACATGGAGTCCTAATCTTCATCTCCGGCTTCTTCAACTTTGGGTTGAGTCTTCAGATTTTAGGAAAAATTTAGGAGACTCGACGAATTCAATGAAGCAATTTAAACCAAAACGTTCTTTTGATTTATTAATTACAGGCGGTATGACTTTAGCAATAGACATTTCACAGACTCACTTTGTTGAATTGTCCTTTGACCAATTAAGAAGCACGCAAAATAAGTGTCAGATAAATTATCTCAGAGGCGCGCTTAATATGGTTGATATTATTACAATAGAAGAATTTGAGCTTGTAAAATTAGAAGACAGTGAAGAAGTAAGACTTGAAAGGTTGAATAATGAAGGATTTGAATTAGATTGGAATGAAACCTGGTCTGTGACTATTGAATCAGCAAAAGCAACTTTTCCTTATGAACATTGTTTCACAGAAGCGATTCAGAATGAACTTATGAGTGTTAGAAAGTGGCTGAAAGAAATTCACTCGAGTAAATTATCTAAAGAAAAATCTCTGCCTTGTGATTTAGTTATCAAAATAAAAGAGTGGATTTTTGAAGTAAGCGACGATCCTTTTGAAGTTCGCCTAAGGGATAATTATGAATTATTAGAAGATGAGTACAAAGAGAGTTTAAAGCGGCAAGCAATGCTTGATGCTAAGGTACAAGAATTATGTCGTGCGCATTTATTGCTACCTCAGGGAAAAGTTGAGGAATTATACGCGAGTTTAAATAAAAAAAACGCTGAAATTTATGTCCAAAGGTGGCGTCAAATGCAACGAGCAGGTCCCTCGAGGACTAGATTATTCGCTTGGACTATGCAAGACCTGGAAATAATCGCCCTAGCAGATCCAACTATTGATGGAACTGAGAAGGCGACTAGGACAATTATTGAACTAGATTCTGAGTCTCCCTGGCCGGAAGACGGGCTTGAATTTAATATCCTCTGGGTCAGAGGAATTGCTTTAAAATGCGCGGAGTGGAAGTTACAACTGCGTGATTTTCCGCAGCCTCTTCTTCTGGTTGAAGGATTAAGTATCTGGGGGAAGCTTGCTGGAGCAGAAGCTCTGGCTCCTTCTAGAGCACGAAGAACTGTTGGAATAAAAATCGGCGAACCCTGGAATGATATTGTTGTTGAACGCGGAATGACTTCTTTAAAATACTACCATGATTTAAATTGGGACATTGATAAATTCAGATACGCCTTTGGTCCTTGCTGGGAGCCTGTAATTGCTCAGTGTAATTTAAGCTTTGAAAAAATACTCCATCCTTCTCGAGATCCGAGCCCACCTCTTCCTTTTTGGGATAAAATCCGCTTGATATATCACGGGAGAATAACTTTGTGTGTAAAACAACTTACAGTGTTGCTCCACGCATCACTGGACCCTTACAACACTACCGAAGAAATGGAACTAACTTGGTCGGGTCTGGAGCTTGATTGGACGCTAGGAAAAATAATTGTAAAAGGTGACTTGGACGTTTATGTCCGAACGGCTAGCAAGTATGATGATTGTCGGCTTCTTCACTTACCTAGTGTCAAGCTTGGAATTAAATTAGTCTGGGTTTGTCTTGGAGATTCTCGGGATCATCACGCAGCGATTCCTTGCGCTCCTGACAGACTCCCAGAGTATTCTAGCAACCAGGAGCACGATTCATTCCGAGCGTTTCGCTCCCAGAATTTAAATGTGAGCCTCGCTCTAGAAACAAAACCTCTAGGCTCTCCTACATCAACCAGTGCTCCAACTGCAGTTTTATACGGAAGCACTTTGCGTTGGTTTGAAAATTTAAAGTTCATCTTATCAGGAGCGACTAGACCCACTCGTAAGGGTCGGCTGTTTAAAAACATACGTCCTAGAAAAAAGCAGCTGAGCAGACACTACAGAAAAATAAGACTCACTCTAGCTTTTCATAGGTTCCATGTCAGCTACTGGATGTCCTTCGCGATGCAAAGGGGCTTTGAAGTTACTGGAGGAAGAGTAGCTTGTTCTTCTGAGCACAATTTAAACCTTCATCCTATAAATGATGGACTAATTCACCGCCTAAGAGCAGAGTGGTCTGTTATTTATATGAATTGTGAATTAAATGACGCTGAAATTTGGCTAAAAAGTGCCATTCAAGCGGATGATGGATTAACATCCTTGCGCCAGCCTGTAGAAAAATGCTACTGTCTAAGTGTTTCTCGGGTGAGTTACGGGAGAGAAGCTTTGGTTGCTGAGATAAGTGGAGATACTCCTACTCATAGATTGGTTGTTCATGACCTAAAAGGAGCTTGGACAAAAACAAACCGGGATGTTGCGTTTGCTTTATTTGACTCTTTTATAAAAACCCAGCAGCTTAAAAAGAACCTTTCAACAGCTGCTCTGAAAGGATTTCACCGAGAATCTAATGCAGTGCTTCAAACAAACAGGTAAATAGATAGATAAATTTATATTTATTTGACCTTAGAGCCAAAGCTCCTTCAATATATACAGTTAGAAAGCGGAAAAAAGCGAATTTTTTCTGAGAAAATTTTTTAATTTATTGATCTAACAATTTGTACACATATTATGGTATCTTTTAACTGTACTTTAAGACTTAGTATTAGTAAAAATATTTATTTCGATAGAAACTACCGGTGATCTCCAGGAGCTCCTCTAAAAATAAAACGTTTTGCGGTGACCACTGTATCTCTGAACTAGATCCTCTGAAATTAAAAAAACCAAACAGATTTCGTTAAAGTAATGTTAAATCTAGTAACTAATCGAAGGAATAAGCAAAATAAATTTTTTTGACAAAATGGCGGTTTCTAAAAAAAAAAAAAAAAAAAAAAAAAAAAAAAAAAAAAAAAATCGATTTTTGACCAAAATTTCGGCCTTAAATTGTTTATAAAAAAAAAAAAAATATTTATCGGTGAGAAAAAATCTTCGGTCACCTCTACACATTGAAACATTAAGATATTGAAGTCCTGGGTCAAACAGCTACTGCCGATAATTTAGCCTTATTTCTTTGAAAAAAAAAAAAACATGCTATGAAATAAATCTCTTCTCTTATTTATTTATTTTTATTTATTTTCTTTATATACATCTCAACAGCCTGATGGCCAATAACAGAGATACAAAAAGATTTAATTTTAGCCACCCTAATTTATTTTATTATAATAGGGGGTTACATGTTCGTATCTGGATAATTTGAAAATAAATCTTACGCAAGAATTCATTTTTCTTTGTAACCTAAGTAGCAGCTTTTTCGACATATGTTAGTAAACGCAGCACAATAATAATAATAAAAAAATCGGGAATATAAGTGTAGTCACTAATTTTATTTGCAATTGTTCATTAAATATTTCATTGTTAATTTTAAGTTGAGCTAACGTTTTTATAGCTTGATTACAAGTCTTTAATACTTGATATTCCCAAGAGAGATTATTATTTAAAATAACCACTAGATACTTGACAGAATTAACATAAGAGAATTAATGCTATTATTAACTAAAATATTCTCCGCATTTATACAAGCATCATTGATGCTAACTTTTAGTCTACTGCCAATTTAAATCACACCATTTAACAATTTTTTCTATTTCACTACAGGTCTGTAGAAAATCAAACTCCTACTCAAGTAACAGCTTCTGCTACAACATCAACAGCTGCTGCTAAAAGTCACCAACCTGAAGCAGCTGGAATGCTTCAGAGACTTGTAGCTGAAGCGAGCAACAAGCCGATAGCTTTTAGCGATGATTTATCATCGCAAACAAGAGGACAGCAATTAAGGGGCCTTGCTGCGTGTAATCAAGATGATGTTCTTCACAAAAACTGGCTGATTGCTTTGGTGAACAGCCAGGTGCTTCTAAAAGGAATTGAGACACGTGGATACGTTATTTTATCCGCTGCTAAAGCGGAAATATTGCAGAGAGTTCATCGGCCTGTTTGGCGAGAGCGGACCTTGGTGTCCAAAACAACCTGGGTCGGTTCTTTGGAGTGTATGCAGTACTATGCAACAGTAAGCGCTAATATTGATGACAATATTGATGACAATATCATGTGGCTCACTGTTGATAACATCCAGGAGAAGGATTCAACTGTTATCTCCAGCTTTCCGGATGTTCCAGCTCTTGTAGGGTCAGGACAGAGTGTAGGAGGTGTTGTTAGTCAGACAGTTGGAGGTGGTGGTGGTTTGCAGCATCAGCTTCAACGGATAGTCTCTAGGTGCAAGTGCGAGTTCTTCTATGTGGGCTACAGCCAAGCGCTGGATTCTGCTGAGCTTAAGGAAGTTCCACCGCCTCCTAGAGAAGAAATCACTCCTTGGGAGCGGAAAGATTTATCAGCTGCTGATGCGTTTACTTTGATGCACTATGATCTGGATGTTTGCACTAATTCATTGCAGTATGCTATGATTTTAGACGTGGTTAATAATTTGCTCTTGTATGTAGAGCCCAGGAGGAAAGAAGCTATGGAGCGGCTCCAAATTATGCGGTTTCAACTTCAGTTGCACTCTGTTGAAGATCAGAAGCGGCCCATTCAGCAGCTGCAGAATACAGTTCGTGGGTTGGTTGCTAAATTAAGAAGACTTGAGAAGGAAACTTACTTGGTTCAAAAAGCACTTGCTGAAGAATCGAACCCGAGTCTTGTGAGTGAAATTGAGAGGCTCGAAGAGAGAGTCTTTGAGTGTAAAGAGCAACTGGGGGATAAGGCTGAAGAACTTGATGTTATGTTGAGTTGTTATAAAGAAACTACTGCGCCTACAGTGGTTTCTACTACGTTGAAGGATAAGCCTGCTGCTGTTGCTAGGGCAGCTGAAATTTGCTTCAAGCACGCTCAGTGGCGGCTGACGGATGCTGATGGACAGCTCGGGATTGCTGATCTGGTTCTTACTAATTTTTTGTACACCAAAACGAGCAAAACAGACGACTCTGTTGAACATCTTTTAGAGCTTGGGTATGTTAGGATGACTAATTTGCTGCCTAATCAAATTTACAGCGAAGTTTTGACGCCTACTGAGCTTCAGAGTAACATGCCGGTGGAGAGACAGAGAACTTTGAGGGTTTTTTGCAGGGAAAAAGCACCCGTTGCTGGAATTTCAGTCAAAGAACATTTTGAAATTAATGTTGCGCCTCTGACAATTGGACTTACTAAAAAATTCTTTAATACTATGCTTAAGTTTTGCTTTCCTGAAAGAGATCCTGATGCTATTGAGGAACCCCAAGCTCCTCAAAGAGACTCTTCTTTTTATGTTCCTATGGAACGGAGAGATGATGTGGAAAAAATGAAGGAGAGAGCTGACAAAAATAAATTGTTTATTTATATTAAAATTCCTGAAGTTCCTGTTAGGGTCTCTTACAAAGGCAACAAGGAAAAAAATTTAGAGGATGTAAGAGATTTTGCGCTTGTTATTCCGACTTTGGAGTATCATAATGTTACCTGGACTTGGCTTGACTTACTGCTAGCGATGAAAAATGATTCCAGACGAGTGATTTTGAGTCAAGCTATTAAACAAAAATTGCAAATTAAGCCGAAAGGCCCGCAAGAAGAAACTATGCCGCAGGAGGAAGACAAAGCGAGACTTTTACTTGGTGCTAGGCATCTTCCGGGAGATGCTAAAAAAAAAAGTGTGTTTAAATTTAAATAATTGTTTTTTTTTTTTTTTTTTTAATTATTAGAAAATACAATTTATTGGACTATTTAATTATTAATATTTAATTTATATTACTATTATATATTAATAAGTGTATTTATTTTTTAATTAACTATTTGGTAATTTATTTTTTTTTTATGTTAAAGAACTAAAACAAATATATATATATATATATATATATCAATTTAATTTAATTTGTGAATAAAAAATTTAATAATAAAAAAAATTATTTAAAGATTAATGAACAATATAATTAATGACTACTTGTGTAATTTAAGATAAATTAATCTATTAAAATTATACTTTGTAAATTTTTTTTATGCTAATAATTATTTATTGGCTCAAAATAAATGCATTTTTAATTCAATTTTCTTGAGAATAATTTTGTGAAATTGTAATTATGTGCCACTATAATTTAAAAAAAAAAAAAACTAAAAATTTGTAAACTATTTAAAGTTAATTTTTGTAAATAAAAATAAATATTTATTACTTTAATTAAATTACCAACACAATGATGAATATTTTAAAATTTATTTATCTGACAACTTCAAATTATATACTACATTATAATACTTTTTGAAATATTTATTAATTATTTTTTTCAAATTTGAGTGTTCTTTTTTTTTTTTTTTTTTAACAATGTTACTTCTGTATATCCGCAGTATTATTTTCTAAATTGTGTACATGATAATTTAAAAGCTGCAATCATTGACCGATTGATTTAAAATGCACAACTTTATTTACGAGCTATTGAGTTTTATTTGATATTTTTTTCACTTCAGCTGGATTTAATTTTTCAATTTTTATCCTCACATCTTACATCCTTGTACAAAATTTTTACACGCTATCATCTGAAAATATCAAGTATGTGTAAAGATTATTGAGAATAAAATATATTAAGAATAAATTGTTTTTACCATGATACCACCACTTTGTCTTCTTTGGATTTTTATTACACGTTTTCACATAAAATGAATTATCAGGTGGCCGCTTCTGTCAGTAAAAGTAAACAAAAGTCATTAATAAAACCCAACAAATTTTTTCTTCATCTCAAAAATTTTTTTGAATGAAAAAATCAATACAAAAAAATGTTAATAAAAAATTTTACATGTAGAAGATTTGAAAAATTATACGTGCAATTTTTTTACTGTGTAATTTAATTGATGAAAAAAATAAAAAATTGTTAAACGTCGGCTAATTTTAATGAAAATTAATTTAGCATGCATTTGATAATTTTATAACAAATAAATTATGGCAAAAACATTGACAAATAGAAATTTTTAAAAATAAAAAAATGCAATTTTTCAAAAATTACTTTTTTTAGAACAAATTTTTTTATTAACTAAAATTAAAAAATTGTCGACATAATACTAAAGTTATTCGATCTTTTTAATTTTTTTTTTCACTTATTAATTTAGAAGTAAAAAATATTTTTTAAAAATTGCACTTATAATTCTTAAAGTTTTTTACAAATAAAATTTATAATAATAAAGTTAGCCGATATTTTTAATTTTTTAATTTTTTTTTATTGAAAAAATTAGAACAAAAAAATATTTTTTAAAAATTGCACTTCCAGTTTTTCAAGTTTTTTACAAATAAAATTTTTTTTTTATTGTTTTTTAATAATTTTTTCAATAAAAAAATTCTAAAAATTTTTAGATGTCAGCTAACTTAATTTTCATTTAAATAATTGCTAATTTTAAAGTCATCTAATTTTATTATCATTAATAATTTACCTTTTCTTTGCAAGAACTTAGCATAGACACAATACTAAGGCAAACACTTTGAACAGAGAGAGCCGGAGACCAGTCATCTGTCAAAATGGACAAACATATATGTCCATTACTGTATACATGTGGATGAATAGGAATGTTTCCTCCAATAAAAGTAACTTCCGGAGAATCGAAAGGATACTTGGAGCTAAACTTGAACTGCAACTGAAAACGTTCTCCTTCGTAAAGAGTGCCTTTTGCACCCTCCATGTGAACTATCCATTGAGTAAGATTTTGGCCAACGAGATCTTCATCTACTTGCACTCCAGGAGGAGGTTCTCGGATGAGGGCCATTAATTCTTTTTGAAGTCGCCTCTGTAATAAAAAATCAATCTATTAATAATGAACAAAAAAAATGAAAATTAATTTAGCATATATTTAATAATTTTAAAAATTTTACAACAAATAAATTATGGCAAAAAAAAACTGACATGTAAAAATTTTAAAAATTAAAAATGCAATTTTTTAGAAATAATTTTTTGGAACAAATTTTTTTGATAAATAAAATTAAAAAATTGTTAGGTGAGTGCTAACTTTAATATCATACAAAAAAAAAAAATAATAAAAGTGTTTTTGTGTTATTAATTTTTAAATCTTTTTAAATACTAAGTAGCAATTCTCAAAAAGTATCATAATAAATTTTTTTTATAACTTATTTTAATTATTAAATTTAATATTTAACATATTTATGACGTTTTAGAAAAATTAAAGTCAGCTGTCACTTTACTACTTTTTTTTTTAAAATAAATTTGCTCTAAATTATTTTTAATTTATTAAAATTTCTTCATGTCAATTTTTTATAAAAATTTATTTAGCAGATATTTTATAATTTTTAGAACTTTTGTTAACAAATAATGGCAAAAAAAAATTGACATATTTAGAAATGTAAAAAAATTAAAAATTTTTTTTAAATAATTTTTTAGAGTTAATTTAATTTTTAAATAAAATTAAAAATTTGTCAAGTGACAGCTAACTAATGTCATAAAATTTTTTTTATTTATCAAATTTCTGCTAAATTAATTTTTAATAACCTTTTATATATATGTCACTAGGTTATGGTAAAAACAAAATGGATTAAAATGAATTATTAATAAATGATATTTTTTTAATTAAAACTATTTTTAGATTTAACATTGATGTAAATAAATAACAAAACTAAAAACTTTAGCAAAAAAATATCTCCTTGAAATTTTTAATAAAGAATAGTTAAACAAAGAAACTATTAAGTATATAACCAAGGTCATTAAAAAGTTTATCAACTTGTTTTTATTATGAGTATTCATCACAAACAATATTAAAAAATGATTTAAAGACGCAAAACTATTTATCTGTCAAATCAAATCACTAGTTTAGAAAAAATTATGGGTGAGTAATAAATATTAAAGAGAAAAAACAATAATATTGGATGACTTACCTCTGAAGGAGACATTGCCGTCATTTTATTAATTTGATGTCCTTTGATAAACATAAACATTCCTCATTGAGTAGAAATTAATAAAATATAAATGAAATACATATATGAAGAGCGAAAACAAAAATTTTAGTTTAACAATAAATTTTTTATGACTCAGAATTAATCAACATAAAAAGTGCTAAATAATAAAACTAGAATCATAATATTTTAAATATTTATCAAAAATAATAATCTAAGATGTAACCACATTTATCTATACCACATTTTTTAAATTTATGTACAAAATATATATAATAGTGCAATAAGGAATAAATAGTTTCACTACACTCGGATAAATGTCATGTCGTGTCAGCAACGACTTTAATAAACATACTGCGCATAAATAGATAAAAAAAAAGACAATTATTCTCAGAGTTTATTTTTCAACCATAGACTGTAAATTAGAATTCTCAAAGAGGCCTTTGTTTTTATTTGGAATTTTTTTTTTTCATTTCAGAATATTGTAAACCGGTGTTCGCCGTGCAATCAGCTCGCTTGCTTGCTTGCTTTCGAGTTTAGTACTGGCCAGCCATGGAATCAACTTCTCATTAAATATGGAGAAGGTATAGTTCAATAATTTTCTGCTGTTCAATTTGAAATCTTTTGATTTTTTTTATTCTTTCACAGGTATGAAGACAATTATTCAAAAATCTATTTCTTCAAGAAGAAATTAATGGTATAATGGACTTTTTGGAGTCTATAAATTAAGAAGAGATATAATTTTTTCAATTAAAGCTATGTACACACTGAAAATATTGGATGACATTTAAGTTAGCAGTCTGAATGATTTTTTAATTTATTTTTAACAAACGAATTTGGTTTGAAAAATTGCAATTTTTATTTTTTTAAATTTCTACAAGTCAATTTTTTTTTCTAAATTTTTTTTGCCATAATTTATTTGTTAAAAAAATTATTAAATATCTACTGAATTAATTTTTATGATTGGATGACATTGAAGTTAGCAGTCTTGATAATTTTTTAATTTTTTTTAACAAAAAAATTTGGTTTGATAAATTGCATTTTTTATTTTTTTTAAATTTCTTCATTTTAATTTTTTTTTTAATGATTTTTTTTGCCATTATTTATTTATTATATCATTAATTTATTTACTTTTACCATTATTTATTTGTTAAAAAAATTATTAAATATCTGCTAAATTAATTTTCATAAAAATTGAAAATATTTATGAAGGCTCCAAAAAATAAACAAGATTTTATTTCTTTTTTAAGAAGAATTTATTTGAAATTTTATTAAGCAGCTGAATAATATTGTGAAATTTTAATTCTTCTTAATTATTGGATTTAAATTGAAGAATTAATTTTATGCATATCAGTTTTAATAAAAATTTTGGTTCTTAAAAGAAAAAAATTAAATATAATAAATAAATAATCAAATAATAATAGACAAAGTCTATATTTCTTCTTTTGAGAACTCTGGAACTTTCATCCCCAAAAAACTCTGGGTTTTGCTAAAAATTGGAATTTTACCTTCCAAGGATTTTCTCTCTGAAATAAAAAAATAAAAAAATAATGAAAAAGTAATTACTTAATTATCGACAGAGTAATTGTCGCAAATTCCTCATTTGAATCGCCTCTCAACATCGTTTAATCGTGAGCATACTTTTTGCTTATTGTACGTGAGTATAGAGGGTAAAAGTATACGTTAACGATAGAGATATAATTATTTACCTTCCTCCTGACCTCGTGAATGACCTTGATCTTGATAGTTTGTCAAGGACATGTTAGCGAATCGCAATAATGTTATAGATTATATGATTATAAATTCTTAAAAAAACAATATTTGATTATAATCTTCTAATTTGTAAAATTATGCGATGGTTGGGTAATTACTTTTATGATTGCTTATCTACTTATTATGATTAATAATTAATTACACTATAGATTGAAAAAAAATTAAGTTAACTTGGTTCAAAAGAAAATTTTTGAACCTAGAAAATTATTTTTAAGCTTCTTTTTGACTTAAGAAGAAATATTTTTGAACTGAGAAAATTTTTTGGGATTTAAATAAATTTTATTTGATAGAATTTTTTATATCCATTCAAAATAATTTTCTAAGTTCAAAAATTTTTTTCTTGAATCAAATTAATTTTTTTTTTAAGTGTAATTTTTTGTAAAAAAAATTTTTGACTCAAGCGTATTTTTTTGATTAATGGTTAAAAATTTCTTGAAAAAAGTCGAATTTTCCTGTAAAAAAATTTTTTTTTACTCTAAATAATTTTTTTTTCTGTGTAAAATTTTAGTGATAAAATCTAAAAAATATCTCATTTTTTTCTACAATATAGCTTCACTGTCCTTAATAACAAAAGAAGTGAAAAGACGACCGAGATACACATTTAAAAAATATTAAAATACTTGTCATTCATCATCAAAAATACTCTCATTCATCCCTCACTCTTGAGCTTAGTGATAAGCTATTGTTGAAATAGGTTGCAGTAAGTGATGGTAAAAAATGATCTTTTTTTACATGTGATATTTTCAAATTTGAAGGAGAAATATATCTTCTCTTTATTTCTATTCTTAGATAAATAAAATAATATCGGATAGGAAAAAATAAGTGAATTATTTTTCGTTTTATCTTGAAGCAATTAATTTAACTTAAATAAATAAAAAAGTAAAATTAGATAGTGCACTGATCTTCTTGATTATATTTGTAAAATCCAAGCGATAGAACAGATAAAATTTCAATTATTCTTGACAGTTTTATATCGATGTGTCTATAAAAAAAAATCAATAAGACTTGTATATAGTTTACCAACTTTAGAACCTTTGATAAGTAATAACATCCTCAAAACTATTCTTCTTTTTTAAGTAGCAATAAGTATTCAAATGCCTCCGTGTTGGAATTCTGCCAAATACGAATTCACAAGTATTAAGTCTGTAATTTGTATTCAACAAAATGTAAAACAATACAAGGGTATCATTTAATGTAGATAGTACTTTTATACCGAAAGGAAATTCAATACTGTTTATATGTTTTTATTTAATATTTAAGAAAAATATAAATAAATTTTTAAATAAGAAATATATAATGATTTTACAAAAGATTATTTTTTTAATGTAACAACAATTTACAATAAAAATAAATTATGTAAAATTTTTTAGAACCCTATTTTATGTCATTTTAATTTAATTACTTTATAATTATCATTATAAATATAAAAATAAGGTCGTGAAAATTTTTAAAATCAAATGGGAATAAATTTACCCTTATTTTAATACTACGGAAGAAATAATAATATTAAAAAAAAATCATGATTAAAACTAGACATACTTTACGAGTAATTACTAAAATTTCAAAAAAAAAATCTGAAAATTAATTTAGCATATTTTTAATAGTTTTTAGAATTTTTTTAACAAATAAATTATGGCAAAAAAAATTGACATGAAGAAATTTTAAAAGATAAAAAATGCAATTTTTTTAAACAAATTTGTTTGTTAAAAAAATTAAAAATTGGTCAAGATAATTAACTTAAATGGTATTCAATTATAAAAATTAATTTAGATATTTAATAATTTTTTTAACAAATAAATTATGGCAAAAAAATTGACATTGAGAAATTTTAAAATATAAAAAATTCAATTTTTTTTAAATAATTTTTGGAACAAATTTTTTAGTTAAATAAAATAAACAAATTGTTATTAAACTGTTAACTTTAATGTGAATGAAAATTAAGTTAGCCGACATTTAAAAATTTTTATAATTTTTTTTTATTGAAAAAAATCATTACTAAAAATAAAATTTGACATGTAGAAAATTAGAAAAGTTTTAAGTGCAATTAAAAAAAAATATTTTTTAGTTCTAATTTAATAAACGAAGCAAAATAAAAAAATAAAAAATGTCGGCTAACTTTATTATTATAAAATGAAAATTAAGTTAGCCGACATTTAAAAATTTTATAATTTTTTTTTTATTAAAAAAATAAGAAAAAAAAAATTTCACTTGTAAAAAATTTGAAAAACTTTAAGTGCAATTTTTAAAAAATTAAAAACGTCGGCTAACTTTATTATTATTATTATTATTATTATTAAATGTCATAAATATATTCCAAATTAAGTGGCACTGAAAAAAAAAAAAACTAATTCCATAAATTCTCCAAAATAATTTTCTTGCTTGAAATATATTTCTTTCACAAAAGCTCCGCCGCACTATTACACAGCAGGGTATGAAAAACTCCGCCTAAAATTGTATGAAAAGGCCCTTTGTTCTGGTTTGTTTAATAAAAATTTTATAAAAATACACACCAGCAGAGTATAATAAAAAAGTATCATTAAATGTCAAGGCACATGAGGCCTTAATGATTATTCGGGAGCGAAGAAAGCCCAAGATGTTAGCTTACACTTAAGGGAGCGCAAATTGTAGACGTGTGAGTAGTAGACAGCTTATATATTATATATAGTACATGTACAGTAAATGTGAAGTGAAAGCTCGCGCAGAAGGAAAAGGGAAGGGAAAGAGAGTAAGTGAGTAAGTGAGAGAGAAAATGAGCAAAAGCGACGCCAGAGGAGAGGAGGCGAGCTTACCACCCTCTCGGAGCAATACCAGTGTAGTGTTGGCCGTTTGACACTGCGGAGAAGACTAGATAACATTTAATCCAAGGCCGGGCTCAGTTCGACTCGTGTTACTTGCTACACTCGTACAGTACGTGAGCTTTTCGTTTCGGTCGATTGTATTTTAATTATTCAAATTAAAAGTTGTTCAGCGAGTGTGTACACGGAATCTTTCACGTTACAGTTGTTAATTTTCTTCGTGCTTATCTTTGCTGGAAACAAATTTAAACTCTAAAAAATCGTTATTATTAATCGATTATTTTTTTTTTAATGTTTATTTAATAAAATAGTGTGTTTATTTTTTTATTAAACGTGAGAATTAGAGACAGCGCAGCCACACTTTTCATTTATTGTGCGCCGTCGCCTTCTCTTCAAGTTAAGTGTTTTATACATGCATGTACGTGGAAAGAGATTCATTCTCAAGCAGAAATAGAAAAGTTAAAAAGGAAAAAT